CCTGGTCACCTACGGGCAGGGCATCCCCTACGACAGCATCGACACAGCCGTCTGGTGGGAACCCACGGGGCACACCTTCTTCTTCCGTGGGGACAGGTGAGTGGCTCTGGGGTCCTCCTCCCTGCTCTGCCGCCTCCTGGCCCCTGGCAGGGGTGGACATGGCGGGTGGCAGAGACCCCCTTGCTCCTCACCTGCTCACCGCTCACCCTTCCTCAGATACTGGCGCTTTAACGAAGACACCCGCTCGGTGGACCCCGGGTACCCAAAGCCCATCTCTGTCTGGGTGGGCATCCCTCCCTCACCCAAGGGTGCCTTCCTCAGCCCAGATGCCTGTAAGTACAAGAGAAGAGGGTTGGGTGGCAGTGGGGGACCAGAGGGGATGGGTCACCCCTATGGTTGCCTGGCCATGTGGGATGGAGGTCGGGAGGGTACCTGGGAGTCAGAGGTGAACCCTTTCTGAAGGGTTTCACCAGTCCTGGAGCAAAACCTGCTGTTCTGGGTAGCTGCAGGGGTGCCCAGGTTGTGGGGTGCCCTGCGCCTGACCCTTGCCTCCATCTTCTCGCCCTGCCAGCCTCCACCTACTTCTACAGAGGCACAAAGTACTGGAAATTCGACAACGAGCGGCTCAAGACAGAGCCAGGTTATCCCAAATCCATCCTACGGGACTTCATGGGCTGTCACACAGAGCTGGTCCCAGACCCCCATCCCCGCTGGCCTGATGTGGACCAACCCCCATTCAACCCTGATGGGGATGGGCCAGCTGAAGGCGAGGAGGAAGAAGAGGAGGAGGAGGAGGAAGATGAGGAGGATTATGGTGAGGCTGGCCACCAGCCGGGTGGGGACGTGGACGTGGTGGTGCAGATCGATGAGTACACGCGCACCATGAGCGTGGTCATGGTGCTGGTGCTGCTGGTGCTGCTGCTCTGCATCCTTGGCCTCATCTACGTCATCGTCCAGATGCAGAGGAAGGGCGCGCCCCGAATGCTCTTGTACTGCAAGCGCTCCTTGCAGGAGTGGGTCTGACCCTGGCTCCCTCCCCAAACTGCCCCCACCACCATGGTGCTAAGGATGGACCTGACCTCCCCCTGCCCCTGCCCTTCCCCATGGCCTCGGCCCCTCTTGCCCCAGGAAAGGGAGGATGCCCACCCACCCCAGCCCCTCCAGAGCAGCCAGGCTGGGACTGGGGGGTGGTGACAGGAGGGGCTGG